CTTCTCTCATTTCCATAGCTATTACGGGTTATGTGGCCAGTGTAGACACAGCCATGGTGAACAGTGCTTTACTCCATGAGTCATCTCACTGGCTTCAGCAGAATCACTTGCTGAGAAAGGTACTGTGATGGACCCCCCATGCTTTGTGCAATTGGCTTATGAATATGAATATGCATTACTCAAAAATGCTTTGGATAAAATACCTCATGTAACCTATCAATTTTAATGTTACAGTCTGCTGGATCTGGATCTTATTTTGGTGCCTGTATTATTCTTGAATGTAAAGTTAGAAATACGAAGTATGGGCTTGGTTCACAGTTTTAAACATGCAAATGAGAGCCATCAATGGTGTGCAGGAAGCCTTAACAACTGGATGCTCAATTTAACGACTTGTATACAGCCTTGTTTGCCCTTTAGAACTAATCAGTGGTTGGTCCTAGGGAGACATGTGACTATACCATTTTGTACTGGAATACCAGTTTGACCAGGTAATTTTCCACAAAAGATTCCTGCCCAAGAAAAGTCTATTTAAGCAATGGGAAGCTATCAGTCCTTTTGATTTTGTAATGATGCACCCAAAAGAAGAGCTGGGGCCCCAAGTCATAGAAAAATATCATCTTTGACTTGAAGGCTTGCCTGAAATAAGAACAGCTTTTAGAGCAAGTTTGCAATACGTTTTAGTGCATTAGAACTAGCTATACATTTAATTTTAATTCTGTAACTTACTTTGATCTGTCTGTTTTTACTAGCAGCCACTTAAATCCTACTATTTGTACTTAGTAAACAAAAGTATTTTATTATCAAGCACAGTGTAAATAAACGTTACCTGGGAGGGGGACAGTCTGTGTGCACATCCTCCTTTCATTGATAAAGGGGGCTTACTTGAATGAGCTTTCATTGTGTAGAACTCTTACACAAAGAACTACAGATTTATTCGGGGTTTTGATCCCATTTGGGGGTTGGTTTCCTAGGTGCTGTGAACCAGAACTGCATTGCTCTACCCAGCTCAATGCCTTGTCTGGTGGAGACCAGAGAATCTGTCCCAGCAGGACAGGGTCGTGGGGAGCCTCAGAGAGCTTAAATCCTACTGTTTGTACTTAATAAAATTACTTTCATTTACTGTCAAGCCGAGGGTAAATAATTGTTACCTGGGGGAGCAATCAGTGTGTACACTCCCCCTTTCATAGTTAAAGGGGACTTACCTGAATGGTTTATCTGGGGTTCAGATCCCATTTGGGGAATGGGCTTCCTGGAAGCTGTGTCCAAAACTGTGTTTTCCTCAGACCTGAAGAGGTTCATTGTCTGTATTGCTCTTCAGAGGGGAGGAGGTGGAGGCAGTGATTTCAGCTCTTGGCTGGGGAAGACTGGGAGACCTGGCCCAGCAGGGCAGCGTGGTGAGAAGCCCCAGAGAACAACAAGGCGAGTGTCAGTGGCATAATCGGCACACCGGGGAACAGCCACAAGGGGTCTTCTGAGACCACATCCCGTCACAGGTAACATTTAATATAAATAAAGGGACCAAATTCTTGCTCTAAATGGTACTTTTTCTAAAATACATTTTATTTCCCTTTCTGGAGTAAAATTATTATAGCCCAGGAACACAGAAACGGCCATACTGAGTCAGACCAAAGGTCCATCTAGCCCAGTATCCTGCCTCCCGATAGTGGCCAATGCCAGATGCCCCACAGGGAATGAATGGAGTAGTGAATCATCAACCAATCCATCCCATCACTCATTCTCAGCTGCTGGCAAACAGAGGCTTAGAAACATCATCCCTCCCTGTCCTGGCTAATAGCCACTGATAGACCTATACCCCATGAACTTATCTAGTTCTTTTTTGAACCCTATTACAGCCTTGGCCTTCAAAACATCCTCTGCCAGGGAGACCCAGAGGTTGACTGTGCATTGTGTGAAAAATACTTCCTTCTGCTTGTCTTAAACCATACATTCATCACTGATCCCGCAATACTACTAACTAATAACCATCATCAATATAATTAAATAGAGGCTGATCTTGCAATGTGCTGAGTACCAGTAAGAATCATTCAGCATCTTTACTTCCCTTCACTCCATACCTCAAGGGGATGCCCATAGCACGCAGAATCAGTTCCACAATGCATCCCATCTCCAAAGCACTTTATAAATTCAAGCTAATTGCAATTCATCTGAACTGCTGCAGTTGAGATCTCATTCAGAGTGCAAAGCAAAGAGTGAGTAAGTTCACTTTTTTACAAAAAAAACCCCAAAACCCTAAAAATGATGTGAACTATTAAAACCCTTGAATCCCAAGTTCTCATTTCACAGGGCTGAAAACATCTCCAAACATGAAACAAAGGAGAGCAACAAAGACCCGTGATTTCTGCTGCTACCTTTAAATTGAACAGGCTGAAGAATCAGTCCAGATCATGGGTGGGCAATAATTTTTGACAGAGCGCCACTCCAAGATTCTGGAAAGTGATCGAGGGCGGCACTTTTCCATTATATTAATGGAGGAGGTGTGTGGTCTGGGATAGAGGTTGGGTGCAGAAGGGAGATTGGGGTAAGGGACTGGGGTGCAGGCGAGAGAGTGGGGTCTGGCAGGAAGCTTAGGTGAAAGAGGCACTTGTGACCCAGGGCAGGGGAATGGGATGCAGAGTTTTGGAATGTGACGTAGAACGGGAGGGGGTTATGACCTAGGGGAGGGGACTAGGTTACAGGGGTTTGGTTTGTGACCTAGGGGAGGGAACTGGGTTACTGGGGTTTGGTTTGTGACTAAGGGGAGGGGACTGGGGTTCAGGATTTTGGGTAGGAGGGGACTGTGATCTGGGGCAGGGGATTGGGGTGCCAGATCTGGGAGGGGATATGGGTGCAAGTAGAATTGCCAGATGGTTTAACCAAAAATACCGAACACCCTCCCCCCCTCAAAAAAAACCCACTAGGGAAAAAAATTCTGTTGAGAAAAAAAAAAAGAGGGGGGAGACCAAAGTTGTTGAGCAAAAAAATAAATAAAAAATAAAATAAAATAAGTGTTGCCCCTTTAAGAAATGCTTTTGAGGCTTTTTGGCTCTAACAGGCAACCGTTCACCATCTTGTCTCCCTGACCTGGGCTGGACAGCTCCCGTGCAAAACCTGGTAAGCACCCGGGATTTTCACCTCCTGGCTGGGAAAAAAAATCAGAAAATATTGGACATTTTAGGTGTCCAGTATTTTCTGAATTTTTTAGCAGACAGGAGGTGAAAATGCCGGACTGTCTGGGTCAGTACTGGACACCTGGCAAACCTAGGTGCAGGAGCGTGGCAGAGGGTTTGGGTATGTTGAGTAGGGGGGCAGAGGACTGGGGAAAGAGAGGAGCTGGGGTGACAAAGACAGGCTCTGGCCAGCAGACTTACCAGCAAGCAGCCCAACCAGCCTGCCTGCCTGCCGAGCCAAATGTTTGCAGAGTTTAAAAAGTTTCTCAGCCAGCCTACCTATGCCTTAACAGGCTGCACAGCCACATGCTTGTGTGAATAACTGAGCAGGAGTGGAGAGGGGTATGGTGCTTCATGTGCTGCCTATTAATCAAACAGGCAGCTCCCATTGACCAGTAGCTGACCAACGGGATTATGGGGGGGTGGGAGTTACACCTGAAGCCTTTGGGTTTACAGTTTTTAAAAGAGAAATGGCCCCGCAGCTGGTTTTATGACTGTCATGCGGGGCAAGCAGGGGAGCCTGCCTGAGGCTCCCTGCTGCATCCACGGGCTGGATCTAGTGGCTTGACAGGCTGGATTCAGCCCACAGGCTGTATTTTGCCCAGGCTTGGTCCAGACTGTTAACATAATCCCAAGAGCAATTCTTTTCCAGCTACAGAGTTTACTCTTCTGAGCAAACAAGAAGACTTCTGAAAGATGCTTTTCTCTTGCTACAATAAAAGGCTGCAATGAGGATAGGTACTTAATATCTATCAATGAACTAAAAAACAAACCTATACAACAGTATGTTGTGATGATGGCCACAAAATAGAATTCTGTAATGGTGACTTCACAATATAGTAAAACCATCAGTAGCACCAATTAACGGTTGAGCCCTTCTTGTATTGGAGTTCACAGCTTTTTCATTTACATCTTGGCAGTACTTTGATACACAAGCTGTCTAGAAGGGCACAGGTTTTGATTTCAGTTCAGCTGGCTTCTGAGAGGATGACTGGGGTAAAATGGGAGAGTTGGGTGTCATTTTTCTAAAATAAAGTCATCCTGTGAGCAATAATCTTTCTGCACTTTTGCTGCTTCCCTTTTAACTTCACTAGGCATTGCTTAACTGTGAAAATCAGCCACTGGTCTTCCCCTCAAGCTGAAGCTATGTTAACGCTTTATGTTAGCTTTAACCTTCATGATGGAATCATTCCCCATTCTGTTAACAGAATGGCAAAAGCGCTATAGTAGTACTGGCCAACAGCATGTTTATAAGGATGGGAAGCCCTCACTTGGATGGGGGAGGGTTTGACATGCAGGCACCTGCAGACTCAGTGTAGTGTCCCCTTTGTCTTCTTCAAGATCAGCTATTTTATCCGCAGCCATTAAAAGAAAAAAGCACGAACAGCTATTTAACAATTGTCTCAAGGAGTTTAATCTCTCAGGGCAAGTAGCACATTCTCTACAACAGAGCAGAAACCCCGTAAGATTAAGACCAGGTTGGGAGATGTATATGAATAATAAGAATAGCCCGTTTCACTTGCTAGAACAGTCATTCATAAAATGTTATAAACACACATCCACCAGAACACATGCAAGGGGGGGGGGGGGGGGGAGCAGAGAATGGAAACAAGAAAACTTCTTCAGCAGTACATTATCTTCTAATTACGGTTTGGGTGTTTGTTTTTTTTACAGATTTCTCTGAAGCATCTTGTACTGGATGCCACCTCAATATGGTTAGAGGTCTACATGGACCCTTGACAACCCTGCGTTCCAGCCCCAAAGAAACCCTTCAGTATCCTGAGCCCCCCCCTGCAAACACTTAGAAGAAAGTTCAAGAGAGAGTAAACTTACTCTGAATCATCTTTGCTTCTGATCCTTTAGCACTGTTCCTTTAGCTTTCTTCCTTTTCAGTTTCCACACTTTGAGATATCTGCTCTGTTGGAGAAAGTGACTAAGTTATTGCCTGCAAAATGTAAACATTCAGAGCACTAGTCAAGTAGTACAGTGTTGTACCTCAGGCAGAGGACTCAACATCATGCTAAAAGCAAGTCAGTATGGGGATGATACAGTTAATGGTGGGAGATCAAAGGGAATCAAACAAAAGAAACCACCTACCTTGTGCTGAGAGGAGAAAGCAGCAAAGAAACTGGAATTAATAGCCAGGAGTAGGGCAGCAACAACCTGAAGCTGCAGCTCAGGAAAAATAGCAGCTGTGGGCACTGCACTGCTATGCAGTTTGGATGGATGGGGGAAGGGAGGGAGACAAGTTTATTTTCTGGGGAGTCTTGGTTTGAGGCAAGTGGACTTGGGATCAGAGAGGAAGAACCAAGCCCATTGCAGGGAAGTTTCCCTTTGCAGATTGCAGGAGGAGCCTGCAGCCGTCACAAGAGGTGAAATACACCAGAGAGCACGAGAGAAAGACATGCAAGTACATGCCCACACTGAGACAAGGGGGGAGAGTGGAACAAATGGGGAGTGTTATTAGTGAGGTAAGGCAAAGTGATAGCTCTGGGACGTGGCAAACCTCTGCAAGTGTAGTTCATGCTGATCAGATTGGCACGGGCTCTCCAACTGCAGAAGCTTTGAATGGCACGTTGTGTCGCTTAAACACTTAACAGCTCAGCACTTTTCAGAGATCCCGTAATAAGACATTTCACATGTCAAGGGCAAAGACATTCTTTTCCAATCACTCTGCTACTTCTAGGCAGGGTTCTCCCACCTCCTACTTGAGACTGAGAAGGGGCTTGCTCTGTTTGGAACAGGGTTTTAGAACATTGGTTTTTTAGGAATGTAAGTGAGGTTAGACATTCTGCTACTGATTTAAAATTACATAGTGGAGGGAAGGTCAGGGTCACTGACCTAGACTGAATTTTCATGCCCCAAATGCTCTCGCTCATTGCAAAACAACCAATTGCTCCCTCCTTCCTCTCTGCAGAAAGGGCTTGATCCTGCAAGGTGCTGAGCACCATTGCTTCAATCCAGCAAATCTCTTAAATACACTTAAATATAAGCAAAGTGGGCAATCCTCACTGACTTCACTAGGATGATTTATAAATTTAGAAGTAAGCAGATGCTTTACTGACTCAAGGTCAAAAGTGTTCAGCATCTTGTAGGATCAACCACTATTTATTGCAGCGTTCTTCTGCACAAGCTTATGCAAATGAAGCACGGGTTAGAATGTCACCGCATTTCACTTGCATAATTAATTAGTATCCGTATTTGCACAAAAGGCTTTTGCACAAAAAGGAGCTGTGTAGATGGCTCCTTTTTGCAGAAAAACCCGTCTTGCGCAAGAGCCGTTCTTCCTGAAAAAAAGAGGAGGAACGGGTCTTGAGCAAGAGAGGGTTTTTGCACAAAAAGGAGCCATCTACACAGCTCCTTTTTGAGCAAAAGCCTCTTTGGCAAAAACAGCTGCTAATTAATTATGCAAATGAAGCACAGCAATATTCTACTCCACACTTAATTTGCATAATCTTTTGCGGAAGAAAGCTACGGTATAGACGTAGCCTGTCTAGCTAAATCCTCATTTTAATGATTCCTGTCAAGAAGCAAACATCATGGTGTTTCCAACACCATGCAAATAATAAATTGTGCTAATAATATAATGCTTCCATCTCACAGAAGAAGTGCTTGGTTGCCTTCTTATTCATGTGTCTTTGGAATGAGCCAAGAATGCCTGTCTCCACTATGGCTGTTGTAATCTCTCCTAGGCACTTATATATAGCCCTCATCCTCCTCTTATCTGTGCACCTTGCAACCTTTTAGTGTATGTTTCCTCACTCACCCCCACGAGGTAAACCAGTGCCGTTATCCCCATCTTACAGAGGGGAGGAGAGGCACAGAGAGGTAACATTGCTTGCCCAAGGTCACACAGACATCTCTGACAGAGCAGGGAATTGAATCCAGGTTTCTGGCTAATGCTCTAACCACTGGACTATCTTTCCTCTCAGGGGTCAGACCGCATGTACTGGTAGTTTCAAATCCAACCCAATCTAAGCAAACTCTGCCCACTTCTGAAACCAAAATGAGACCCCCACTTGTGGCACATTGTACAGGTGTTTTCACCACAGAAAGGATCCTCCCTCTCCCCCCACTTTTACACAACTGTGCAATGGGGGAAGAGAGAGTAAAAGATTGCACTTGGGAAACCCCACCTGCCTGCTACCATTTTGTCCCCTCTCCAACCACTAGGGTCAATTCGCCATCAATAGAGCAGCAGGTGGAACTATGGCTCCACTCCACTGTTTTTTCTGCCCTCACCCAATACAGCTGTGCTGGGGTGCGGGAGTGGAAGAGAAGGGTGATATAGCTGATAAAGAGGTATCAACAGGTGCTGTCTTCACACTGCAAATAGAAAGCAGAATTCTGCATCTTGGGGGCACAAACTTCCTAGCTTCTGCACTGGGGTGATGTGGCTCTTTCCTTTTCCTTAATAAAGTCAGGACTATATGCTTATGTTCTTTGTGGCATGCTTCCATCAACAACAAAACAGTTAACGCTGAGGAAATTCAATCATTAAGTTCCAGAGTGAACATGCAATACACATGGGCTACGTCTAGACTGGCATGATTTTCCGAAAATGCTTTTAACGGAAAAGTGTTCCGTTAAAAGCATTTTAGGAAAAGCACGTCTAGATTGGCAGGATGCTTTTCCGCAAAAGCACTTTTTGCGGAAAAGTGTCCATGGCCAATCTAGACACGGTTTTCCGCAAAAAAGCCCTGATTGCCATTTTCGCGATTGGAGCTTTTTTGCGGAAAACAGTACAGGCAGTCCCCGGGTTAAGTACAAGATAGGGACTGTAGGTTTGTTCTTAAGTTGAATTTGTATGTAAGTCGGAACTGGTACATATTGTAGGGGAAACTCTAGCCAAACATTTCTCCAGAGCTCAGTTTTATTCTCCCACACCTCACTTCCCTCAGGCTTTATTCTCAAGCTGAGGTGTCTGCTGAGAAAAGCCGCTCCACCTCTCCCTGGTCTGCTGGGGTGGGGGGGCGCTAGCTTCGCATCTCCCTGGTCTGCTGGGGGGAAGCAGCTACTACACTGGCCCTTTTGTGCAAAAGTCTTTCGGAAAAAGACTTTTGCCCGAACGGGAGCAGCATAGTATTTCCGGAAAAGCACTGACGATCTTACATGAGATCGTCAGTGCTTTTCCGGAAATTCAAGTGGCCAGTGTAGACAGCTGGCAAGTTTTTCCACAAAATCAGATGCCATGAAGTGGGGAAGATTTTATCCATCAGAACAATCATTTCAGGCCATTTGAAGACTCAGAAAGATATCGCTGGAGTTGGTTTGGTTTCCAATCGCTTCACCCTATGGATGTTTCCTTTATAATCATTAGGCTACGTCTACATTGGCATGATCTTGCACAAAAACTCTTTAGCACAAGAGTTCTTGCATTAAAGTAGCTGTGCAAGAGAGCGTCTACACTGGCATGTGCTTTTGCGCAAGAGCATCCATGCCAGTGTAGACGCTCTCTTGTACAAGAAAGCTCTGATGGCCATTTTAACCATAGGGCTTTCTTGCGCAAGAAATTCATGTTGCCTGTCTATACTGGCCTCTTGCGCAAGAACAGTTGCACAAAAGGGCTTATTCCTGAGTGGGAGCCTCATAGTTCTTGCACAAGAAGCACTGATTTCATACATTAGAACATCAGTGTAGTTGCGCAAGAACTCATGGCCAGTGTACAGGCAGCAAGTTTTTGCACAAAAGCAGCCGCTTTTGCGCAAGATCACACCAATGTAGACAGAGCCTAGTATTATAGGCTGAGGGCAAAAAGTTTCAGATGTGCCTAAATGACTTGTGCTCTTTTCAAAATCTTTTATTTAAAATTAAAGCTCAAATTCTGGCATGCACGATGAAAACAACCTCAATGAAAATATGGATTCCGCTTTCATTATCTGTAAGAGAGCTGTAAATCATGAGCACTGTTAATCACTGAAGTGCTATTTTACACTTGGTTGAATGTGGTGAATGCTTAAGATTGTGGCAAGGCCCCAGAGCCCTGGATGGAGGATTCTTTGTTCCTATAAATCAAAAATAAATAAATATTGATCCAGGTTTGTTCACTGCAGTTCTCATAGTCCTGTAAAACAACATTAGCCAACTATTAAAACAAGGCCTCAGAGCAGATCTGTAGCCAGAAACCAGGACACCCAAACAGGCAGCGAGTACTCCTTATATCTGCAATCACATGCCACCTCTCCCGTTCTGCCTACATAATCAGCAGGTACGTATAATAGGTATAGCTCTATTCACTGTGACTATCATGGGCAGTCTGGCCCTTGGAAGCAAGCAGGGTTCAGCCTTGCCCATGACCTAGCAACTAACCTTCAGCCTCTCTTATGAGCTGGTAACTAAGAGCTAATTAGTGACCCCAGCTGTGTGTAATGGGGATTAATTAGAAACTGCCCCCAATTAGTCATGCTTCTCATGCAGGGTGTGATTGATTAACTGCCTCCTAGCCTAAAGAGATGGAGCTAGACTTTGAATAGAGCTGTGAAGCAAGCTGAGAGAAAGAGGCCCTGCAGGAGGGGAAACAAGGGGAGTGCTCCTCTGAGAAGAGACAGACTGAAAGATCCCCAGAGGGTAGAGCAGGTTCCTGTATGATGAACTAGGGCTTAATGAGGAGAAGAGCTGAGAGTTGTATGAAAGAAGCACTGCACCAGCCTATGGATCAGCAAAGCTGTCAAAATCCCTGGGGAAGGGAGGCTGCAGAGGAATCCAGCTATAGGAGGAACAGAGGATATTGGAGCCTGACAGGGGCAGAAGAACTAGTAGTTTGGAGTATTTGATTTTGGATGTGGAGCTGGATTTTTAGCTAACCCAGGAAGGGGACTGAACAGTGCATGAATTGACAAAAGGGCTGAGCAACAGCAGACCTGGGAAGGGAGTCTAGAGAGGGACCAGCAGAGCAAGTGACTGTCAGAGAAAATGTTGGAGGTAAAGTCTCAGCAATACTCTGTCTGGGCACAGAGGGTTGCACCAGAGAGAATGATGTTCTTCAGGGATACACAAGCCAAGCCCCTGGGCAGGCTGGGGTGGGGGGAATTGCTCTGTACCCCTGGAAGAGAGAGAGCCTCTTGCAGAAGGAGTGGGGCTGGGTCAGGTAGCACTCAGTGTTGCCCAGAGTGTACCTTCAGCAGCAATTTAAAGGGCCTAGAGCTCCAGCCACTCCAGTAGCAGTAGCAATGACAGGGAGCTCTGGGCCCTCTTGTATTGCCAGGCCCTGCAGCAGTTGCCCCTAGAGTTGCCAGATGGTTTAACCAAACATACTGAACATCACCTGCCCTCCCCCCCCAAAAAGGGGGGGGGATTCTGTTGGGGGAGGGGGAGACCAAAGTTGTTGAGCAAAAAAATTACAAAATAAAACAGGATGGCTTGCAGAGTCAGAATAGGGATAGAAACAGGGAGCAGTTGAGCACTAAGACCCAGGGAAGGCATTGCTTCCCCTTGGTCTTTAGGCTTTTTGCTGGTGGCCATTTTGTGTTCTTGATCAAGCCAGAACACAGCTTCCCTGTGGAACCAGGTAAGCAGAGGGTTGGGGGAGATGCTGGGGGCTGGGCCCAGTTGCCAAGTGTGTCATAAGGTTGCCAGTGCTGGTATTGTCTGAATTTTTTTTTTTTACCAGACAGGAGGCGAAAATTCTGGACACCTGGCAACCCTAGTTGCCACTTTGCCCCCCTTCCTCCTGCCTTGCCCTCCATTGGTGGGC